CTAAGCTTTCTTGCCTTTTGCTGTCCCTTTCTTCTGATTACTTTTGGAATATGTACCCATGCAGTACTTCCAAAAATTCTCAAATGTGCCGGTGATGGCTTTCTCCAATATAGAATGGCATATGGGAGTATTATTAATGGAGAAACTCCACAGCCTGTTAACTATATAATTGGCAGTCAATATGGCTTCTCCCCAATATGACCTGTTCATACCAGAATCCTCTAATAATGAATCTTTCATTGTTTGCAAAACACCATTCCTTCTTTCAGCTACACCGTTCTGTGATGCTAAGGATTTGTATGTCTGTGTCTTATCCCCAATTGCCCCAACCATTGTTGGCATTTAGTTGACATAAATTCAGTACCTCTGTCAGTTTGCAACTGACACACTTGTTGTCTGTACCTTCTCTCTACAGAACTTACCCACTGTTTGAATTGTTATAGCACCTGTCTTACCTCTAAGCAAGTAGCAAAACGAATACCTGCTATAATCATCAACAATTACCAGTGCATATTTTGCTCCTCTAGAGCTCTTTTTGTTTGTCTTGTGCTATATTTACTAACTGGGAATGCCTTTGACTTCGATGCTTTGCATATTGCACAGTTCAAATATGTTTTGCATCCCTTCAAATTTAGCCCTTCTGCAAACTCTTGCATTTGCTGCAAAACTTTAAAGCTTGCATGGCCAAGTCTTCTATGTAGAAGATGAACGCACAAATCATGCTCTGCAACATTCTTAAATATATGGGAACATTGAACCTTTTGTCCCTGCAATACATATAGATTATCTTCCTTTATGCCTTCTGCACAAATATTCCCATTCCTTTTGATGAGACACTTCCCATTTACAAAAATGATCTCAAATTAGACACACTTAACAAATTATGTTCCATCTCAGGTACACGAAGCACATTGGTAAATTTTGATTCCAAATATGGAATTTTTACATCGCCTTTACAGATGACTTTTGCTTTCTGGCCATTTGCCAAAGCCACAGCTTCTTGTGCTACTGGAAAAAACCTGCAAAATAATTCAGAGTCATTAACAATTGTTTGACTTGCCCCACTATCTATTAGCCACTTGTCTCTGTTGTTGCTATAGCAACTTTTGCAACACCAAAATGTTCCTTTTGCAAATCAGTCTTTTTTGCTTGCACAAATTGCTGTAAATTGTTCCTCTGCAAACAGTTCCTTTTCAGATGCGTGTTTGCTCCACAAATGTAGCAATTCTTTTCTTGCTGAGCCCTCTGCTTGCAAAATCTCTCTTTTGATGCAACTTGGTCCCATCTGCTTGTTTCTTCTCCGGAGACTTGCAGTCTGGACCCCCTCCTCAGGAATTTCACCTCCTCATGGCAGTTCCTAAAATGTTGCTTTTCTTCTTCATTAAGCAAACATGCCTTTAAAGCCTCAAAATTTAAGTCTTGCTCTTCTTTACACTCAAATATCGCAGAAACTGTCCTAGGTTTTATCTAAACTGTTCAACATCAATAAAGCCTTTTGGGACTCAGGGAATTTAATCCCACGTTGTTCTAAGTCCAAAAATAAAATTTGCATTTTATTTAAATGCTGTTCCACAGATTTGCCTGGCTGCAAACAGGCCTTGTAAAGTTTTCTTGACAATTGCACTATATTGCATGCAGAAAAATTCACATGCACAGCTCTCAACTTCAACCAAATCTCCTTTGCAGTCTTTAAATTTGCAACATTTAGAAATTGTTCATCATCTAAATTCAAGATGAGATAAGCCATTGCTTGATCATGACTTTTCTGATCAACAGCTGCAAACACTTGTGGTGGATTTCCTATGACATACCCCAGCTCTTTTGCTTTGAGCAAACATTCCATTTTTGCAGCCCACACAATGTAATTTTTCTGGCCCAAATGAGGCACAGAGCTTTCCTTAAATTCCATTGCAGCCATTCTGCTAATTCTGCCTTGTTCTTATACTTTCTAAACACAGGCAATTTCTTCCAGCTTTAAATTACAATGCAGTCCTTTGTAAACTATGGGCTCATAACCTGTTAGAAAATTTTAATTTCTCTGTTGATGAAAATAAATCAGAAGCTCTCACAGTTGACTGCATTTAGCTGGCACAAAGCCTCACCATTCTTCTTCTCATTCTCCTCCCCACTCTGCTCCATCTGAGTTGAAGAAAGTGGAGGCGCAGCAGCAGGATTCCTCTCAATAAGGCAGGCGCACATGAGCAAGCAGCACCCCCAGTTCTTATTGTTTGAGAGCAATCCCTCTGCTGCACCTCCACTTTCTTCAACTTGGATGGAGCCAAGGAGCCGCTGGGGACCTCTTGAGGGGGAAGGACAAGCTTTGCTGATTGGCAGTGCCCAGGCTATGCCCTGCCGCTGCCTCCCAAACTCCATCTTTGCTGCTCGTGAAAGCTACAGTGGCAGGGCACTCTGCGCGCAGGAGGTAGGAAAACGCAGCGGGGCATGCTCCACGTGGGAGAGGTAGGGAAAAGCAGCGGCAGCGGCAGGGTGCTCCGTGCAGGAGAGTGAGGAGGGAAAAGCAGCAGCAGGGCACGCTCCACGTAGGGGAGGTTGGGAAAAGCGATGGCAGCTCCTCATGGGGGAGGTAGAAGGAAAACTGATGGCAGGGTGTGCTCTGTACAGGGAGGTAGATGAAGAAAGCAGCGGCAGGGTGCTCTGCATGGGAAGAGGTTAAGCAGCAGCAACAGTGGAGTGCTGGGGGGGGCAAGCAGCAGGGTTTTGTGGCTCCTGGTGTTTTATGTGGAAAAGGGGCCCAAATGGCTCTTTGAGTGTTTAAGTTTGCCAACCCCTGGCCTAGTGAAACAGTGAAAAGTGATGTCTGGTCTCCTCTCAAAAGCCTCCATGGATGGAGCACTCGCAACTTTTAGAGGGAAGCTGTTCAACTGATTAATTGGTTTCACAGACAGAACCTCCCCCTTAATTCTAGGTTAGATCTGTTTTTGATAAGTCTCCCTTCTATTACTTCTTTTACTGCTCTCAGACACTTTGGGGAATAGGTTAACCCCCTCCTAATGTGTCAGCCCCTCAAATACCGAAAAACTATCAGGCCACCCTTAGTCCTTCTCTGCATTAAATTAGACATATCCAGTTCCTCCAATCGCTCATCCGATGTTTTAGCATCCAGTACGCTAAATATCTTTGTTGTTCTTTTCTCCACTCTTTCTAGAGTCTCAACATCTCTTTTTGTATCGTGACCAAACCTGGATGCAGTATTTTAAGTGCAGCTTAAAAGTGACTGCACTCACTTTTTCTGCAGCTGCATCGCATTGCTAGCTCATACTTAGGTGATTGTCCACTGAGAGTCCTAGATCCCTCTCACAGTTACTGCTGTTGGGAGATATCCAAACTCTTCTATAGATGCGTGTTTGGTTTTTCATGCCTAAGTGTAAAACCTCATTTTTTTCACCACTAAATTGCATTTTCCTCTAAAGGGCCCAATGTTCCAGGTTTGGCTATCCCCCCCCCTTTCTCTCCATTCATCTTAATCACTTATGAAGATATTGAAGAGTACTAGGCCTGAGAGCCTTGGGTACCCCACTGCATGCTTCCCTCCACATATATTTAGTTCCATTGCAGATAACATGTTGAGTGCTGCTTGTCAGCCAGTTACGATTCCATCTGGTGATGCAGCTATCATCTATCTCATATTTTTCTATCATACCAAGAAGTATTCTGTGGTGCACTTGTTTGTATGTGGAGTCCCTAAATCAGACAAGTCAAACACAAGGCCTGAGGGTTGGATGCAGCCCGCGAAGTGGTTTCGTGTGGCCCACAAAGCCATCCTGGAAACAGCCTCTGCTGTGTCGGCCCCACCCCCTGGATGCATGCTGGGGAGGTGTCACCCTTTGTGAGGAATGAAGAAATGCACCATCACCTGGAAGTGGCCAGCAAATGGCCCTTGCCTATTTTACATATCCGGCTTGATGGGTTCTGCCCTGGTCCCTCCCCTTTCTGCCAGAGACTCTCAGATCTGTCCCACTCTTGCCCAGGTCCCCACAGGCCCCCTTTATGTGAATGATGTAGAGCTGGCCACACGCACTCCATCCATGCCCATCCAGTAGGCTGCACCTACCCTGCCCCCCCAAGGGCAACCACAATGCTAATTGTGGCCCTCAATGAAATTGAGTTTGACACCCCTGCCCTAAATGATTGCCAACTTCATCCTGTATATAGAATAATAAAATATGGTATAAACCTGGAAGCAGGCTACCATATTGGTCCCCATCCCATCTAGTCAGGAGATACAGGTCATCCTCATCTTACAACTATTTCTTTAGTGACCGTTTGAAGTTACAATGGCCATGAAAAACGTGACCTATGACCGTTTTTCATTCTTACAACTGTTGCAGCATCCCCGTGTTTTGTTTTTGGTGGGAAACGGTCCAAGTGGCTCTTTGAGTGTTTTGGGTTGCTTACCCGAGTTAGATTATTCCCAAGCAGGCGCCTTGGGCAAAATCTTTGGATGGCGCGAGTTAGCAGAAAGCCGATGTAAAGATTCTGGCGCTTTCTTAGGGGTGACTCTCAGTGGAGATCAAAACCTCTCTACACCCCCAAATTTTTATCACAGATATTCCTGTGGCTCCCAAGGTGAGACGCTATAGGAGGGCCATCTTCACTCCTGCCAGCCAGGGCTGCATCCAATAGCACCCACCATGAAGCTTCATTCCTGAAGGAGGAAATTTTACATCTGCTAAATGCTAAATGCCATGTGCGTCTGTAAATTTCCTTGCATGGAAGCCTCCATTAGGTCACAGAGAGGGAAAAATATGCACCACGGACCTATACCATTCCAGATAAGTCACTGTCTAGTTTCTTCTTAAAAACCTCCAGTGATGGAGCACCCACGATTTCTGAAGGCAAGCTGTTCCTTTTGATAGAAGTGAATGAAAGGTCTTCAAAATTTAATATTAAAAGAAAAATTTAAAATAGAATCTGCTATACAATGGAAATGTACTGAAATAGACAAACAAGCTTACCAAAGAAATTACAATGGGGAACGAGGAGGGATGTGGCAGCCCTGACAGGGTTGTATAAAGAAGGAATATTTTGGATTGGAACTTTGGAGAGAACCAAGCTTTGCTAGCTTCTCTCCTCGCTTATTGCAATAAATGAAATAAAAGGCCTTGGCTGGTTATTGGTCAGGTGAGCTTCCCTCTGGTCATGAAGGAAAGTAGCCAGGAGCACATAACACTCTGTTTAATTGTCCGCATTGTTAGTAAGTTTCTCCTTACTTCCAGGTTGCTTCTCCCTTTGATTAGTTTCCAACCGTTGTTTCTTGTCTTGCCCTCTGGTGCTTTGGAGAATAATTTGACCCCGGCTTCTTTGTGCCAGCCCCCCAAATACTGTGGGGCAGAGGCCAGGGGGATCATGGGGGAAATACCTGTGGGGACCATGGGGCGGGAGAAAAGCCTGGGGTCCTGTAAGGGAGGAAAAGCTCTGGGGGAACCAAGGGTTGGGAAGCAGAGCACAGGGTGTCTTGTGGGTGGGGGAGACCTAGGGATCCCTGTTGGGGAGAGGCAAGTCTAGGCTTGCGCTAGGCCTCCAAGACGTTCCCTACTAGTGTTCAACTTAGTGAGTTGCACATCTGTTTAATGGCTGCATCACGGAGAGTGGAGGTAACTAACCAAACCAGTCTCACTTCATGGCTTTTGCAATGTGCAACCATAATTGACAGGCTCCATTACAGTTGTAACTTGAGGACTACTGGTATGCTGGCAGGGAAAATGTAGGGATCAAAATCTGGAGCACAACAAAGAAGGCTGAAATTCTGTATGTTGGATTTTCATAATCAATATACAAAAACATCACACAAAACTCTACTACAGAAAACCCTGTTTGAGGAATTCCACAAGTTCTATAAAAGGAAACATCCAGAAATGTCTGCTGATAATTAGAAACAGGTCATTAGCCTTTATCAAGCTAACAATTTTCATTTTTTTTCTCTACACCAGAAGTCTAATTCTAAGATGTATTGACTAAAAAGAATCAGGCCAGAATTTCTAAACTCCCAATGGGAAATCAGAAATGAAATTCAAGCCTTCTCTAAACTCATCAATGTCTGCCTCATGTGCACTTCCTTCTGTGCTGCCACAAAATAGGTTATAAAATTGGGCACATTGTGTGATGACCCATTAATGACCGTCTTGATTTACAACTGTAATTGCAGGCTAAATTACAGTTGTAAATCCAGGACTACCAAGAATTTCCCCCAACAGTAAGGCAGCCAGTGTTGTTGAATGACTTGCACATTCATTTAACAGCTGCATCAGGAATAGCAGGGACATGGGGTAATTAAGCAAAGCAGGCTCCCAACCATAATTGGTAGGTATCTTTACAACTGTATCCCAAGGACTAACTGTACATTAGCTGGGGAATTTCACATCTTCTGCAAACAGAAACTACTGCTCAGAAATAGGTAGTTAGTCTATATCAAAGTAATATTTTCCATATTTTTCTCTCCATCTTCAGGTCTAATCCCGAGATCTGTTGACTAAAAAGAATGAGGCCAGAATTGAAGTAGTCAATTTCTCACCTATACTCTCAATGGGAAATCAGAAATGAAATTCAAGATTTCTCTAAACTCATCGTTTGCTTCATGTGCACTTCCTTGTGTGCAATAAGAGATGATTTACACCTGAAGAATCGTTCACAGATTGGACATTGCAAATGTTTCTCCCCTGTGTGACTAATACTGAAATCTTTTCCAAATCTGGACACTTTTACGGTTTCTCTCCTGTATGCGTCCTCTGATGTTTCACCAGGTTAAAGTTCACATTGAAAGATTTTGCACAATCAGGACATTCAAAGGGTTTCTCTCCTTTGTGAGTCCTCTGGTGTCTCACCAGGTTGGAACTGAAACTGAAACGTTTCCCACAATCAGGACATTCAAAGGGTTTCTCTCCTGTGTGAGTCCTCTGGTGTTTCACCAGGTCAGAATTTGCAGTGAAACTTTCCCCACAAACTGGACACTCGTATGGTTTCTCTCCTGTGTGAATCCTCTTGTGGTTTACCAGGTTAGAACTTTTCTTGAAACCTTTCCCACAATCAGGACATTCAAAGGGCTTTTCTCCAGTGTGAGTCCTTTGGTGTATGACAAGGTTAGAACGAGAACTGAAACTTTTCCCACATTCAGGACATTCAAAGGGTTTCTCTCCTGTGTGAGTCCTCTGGTGTGTCACCAGACTAGAACTCTGGCTGTAACATTTCCCACATTCAGGACATTCAAAGGGTTTCTCCCCTGTGTGGGTCATCTGATGTGTCACCAGGTGGGAATTCTGACTGAAACATTTTCCACAATCATGACATTGAAAGGGTTTGTCTCCTGTGTGAGTCCTCCGGTGTGTCACCAGACTGGAACTCTGGCTGTAACATTTCCCACAATCCGGACATTCAAAGGGTTTCTCTCCTGTGTGTGTCCTCTGGTGTTTTACTAGGTCGTAATTTGTAATAAAACTTTTCCCACAAACTGGACACTCATATGGTTTCTCTCCTGTGTGAGTCCTCTGGTGGTTCACCAGGTGGGAATTGTGACTGAAACTTTTCCCACAATCAGAACATTCAAAGGGTTTCTCTCCTGTGTGAGTCCTCTGGTGTGTCACCAGACTGGAACTCTGGCTGTAACATTTCCCACAATCCGGACATTCAAAGGGTTTCTCTCCTGTGTGTGTTCTCTGGTGTTTTACTAGGTCGGAATTTCTAATAAAACGTTTCCCACAAACTGGACACTCATATGGTTTCTCTCCTGTATGAGTCCTCTGGTGGTCCACCAGGTTGGAATTTTGACTGAAACTTTTCCCACAAAGTGGACACTCATATGGTTTCTCACCTGTGTGAGACCTCTGGTGGCTCACCAGGCTGGAACTGAAACTGAAACGTTTCCCACAATCAGGACATTCAAAGGGTTTCTCTCTTGTGTGAGTCCTTTGGTGTATCACCAGGCTGGAATTCTGACTGAAACTTTTCCCACAATCAGGACATTCAAAGGGTTTCTCTCTTGTGTGAGTCCTCTGATGTGTCATCAGGTTGTAATTCCGGGTGAAAGATTTCCCACAATCTGAACATTCAAAGGGTTTCTCTGCTGTGTGAGACATCTGGTGTTTCACCAGTTTGGAACTGAAACTGAAACATTTCCCACAATCCGAACATTCAAAAGGTTTCTCTCCGGTGTGACACATCTGGTGTTTCACCAGATAGTAATTTACAGGGGAACTTTTTTTTTCACAAACTGGACACTCCTATGGTTTCTCTGTGTGAATTACTTTGCTTGGTAAAGCATTTACCACATTGGGAGCACTTATAGGGCATCTGTCCTGTGTGGATCCTTTTATGAACCAGAAAGGAGATATTCTGACCAAAGATTTTGTTACATTAGTAGCATTTGTATGCCTTTATTCCAGTTTGGATCCTGTTGTACATAATCACCTATGCTTTTGCAATCCACTGATATGCTGGAGGAAGTAAAAAATGTATGTGGTCCCTTGTTTAGTGGTGCTTTGATTTCACCTGTTTTTTTCCTCCCATTGGGAGTTTTGCATTGCTGTCTGCCCTATTTGAATATCCAATTGATCTTTTCTTCACCCCTGACTTCCAGATATTTCCCTCTTTTTCTGAATGGAAAAATGATCCCCTCCACCTTGTCATGTAACCTATCCTTCTGTTCTGCATACTCTACTATTTCCAGCTTGAAATCTCTTCTTGATTTTCTCTTGCCTTTCGCCTGCTGGGATGGGACAATTGTGTAATTTTCTGAAGGAAATGGAAAATATTTTGATTTCTGGCTTGATTTGCTTTCCTTTTCAAAAGTTATTCTCACTTCTCCAGAGTGCTCTTATTGCCATCCTCTTTGTCTGTAAGATTCAAAGAAAAGTGTAAATTTAATTGTTTATACAATGCTTGCAGATGTGAAAAAAAGCAAAAAATATACATTACATTTAAAAACCAAACATGCCGCAATGCTAATCTCTTACATTAATTATGATTCATTGGACATTCCAGAGATCCAACTTCAGATATCCGTTCAATTATGAAATTCCCCTCACTTGCATCAACCATAAATTCTAAGCACTGCTAAGGGTTATCATAAAATAAATCTGCAAGTCTCGGGTATAGATTATACAATTGCAGACATATGGAAAAAGTAATATAAATTCACGTACTTATAATTATATCTATGTGGAAAATTCATGTTTTCAGTCTGAAAAAGAAAAAAAGATTACTGTCAAACGTTCTGAGCTAATTTTTAGAGGTGTGGAGGCTTTAAATGATGAAATGATGCCTAAAGCCTCTGCAAGATTTGCACATGGGAGTCCTCGGCTACAAATAAGGGCAAAAACTACTTTCCACAATCCCTCTGCTGACATCCCAATTGAAGTACTCCTCACTTAATGACTGCAATTGGGACTGACATCTGTGTCATTAAGCAGCCTGATCATTAAGCATGATATCACATGATAGTGCCAACTTACATCTAATAATAATAATAAATTTGGAAGGGACCTTGGAAGTGAACTAGTCCAACCCCTGCTCAGGCAGGAAACCTTTTGAGACAAATGCCGTCCAGTCTCTTCTTAAAAACCTCCAGTGTTGAAGCCATTCACAGCTTCTGGAGGCAGGTTGTTCCACTCATTAATTATTCTGTCAAGAAGTTTCTCCTTAGTTTTAGGTTGCTTCTCTCTTTGGTTAAGTTTCCCTCCATTGCTTCTTGTCCTGCCTTTAGGTGCCCTGGAGAATAGCTTGACTCTCTCTTCTTTATGGCAGCCCCTGAGATATTGGAATACTGCTATCGTGTCCCCACTCGTCCTTCTCTTCATTAAACTAGACATACCCAATTCCAGCAACCATTCTTTGTATGTTTTAGCCTCCAGTCCCCTAATCATCTTTGTTGCTCTTCTCTGTACTCTTTCAAGAGTCTCAACATTTTTTTACATCGTGGTGATCAAGTGTGACCAAATATGGCCTTACCAAGGTATTGTAAAGTGGTATTAATACTTGACGTGATCTTGATTCTATCCCTCTGTTAATGCAGCCTAGCACTGTGTTGGGTTTTTTGGCAGCTGCAGCACACGGCTGGCTCATATTTAAGTATTTTAAGTGCCGCAGTAATTCATTACTAAAACTTCATGTGATCTTGATACTATCCTTCTTGTATGGAGAGTAGGACTGCACTCACTTTTTCTGTAGCTGCATCACATCGCTAGCTCATACTTCGGTGATTGGCCACTGAGAGTACAGGTTCCTCTTTTCTGCACTCAGCGAAAAGCTCTCTAGACGCCAAAGGCCGAGACGGGACAAGCGTAACTTCCGGCCTCCTATCGCGAGATGACGGTCAGATAGGCAGCAGCTGCGACTAGAAAACGGCATCTCCAGGGGTGGAGGGAAGAGGAGCTGTAACCATAGAGTACTGCATTGCTAGAAAGGATGGGAGGCGAAGAGAAGATCAGAGCAACTTCCTCTTCCGGATCGCTCAGGGGAGGAAGGAGGCGTGGGGGGGGGGAGGCTTTTGTGCTCTTCCCAGGGTCGAAGCAGCAGCTGGAAGGTGAGTCGAGGGCGGGTCGGGGGAGAAGCCGGGAGCAAGTCGGGCTGATCGGTTCGGACTTTGCCCACCGCTGTACATCCTTGACGGTCGCAGCATCCCAGCCTCGCGATCCCCGTTTGTGGCTTTCCCAGCCAGCTTCTCCTAAGCAAAATCCCTGGAGAGGCTGGCAAGAGGTTGCAAGTCGCAGTCACGTGAAATTGCCTTCAACGACCCAGAGAGACTCGCTTAAGGCCTGCAGAGGAACAGCCCCCCTCCTGCCCCGCAGCCCAACCTCTTGGCGCAGCCCGGCTCCCAGCGTGGGGGCTCCTGGCGTTTCCCGGAAGGTTGGGCACCGCCGTTCCCACGTTCCCCTGGGGCTGCTGGGGAGGATGAGTCTCCCAGTGCCTTGAGGGGAGGAAGGGGAAGAGGACGGGGGAGCTCTGGGCTCAGAGGGAGCGTGGCTGGAGGCGAGGGCGGGAACCCTGCTAGGAGGAGGCCAGGGGCGTCTGGAAGGGGGGTGAGGGAGACCCGAGAGGCGTCCAGGTGGGCTTGGCCGATGGGCAGCCCTGTCCAGGTGGGCTTCCTTTGGGATGGAGCTCCTGAATCTGCCTCTCTTACCTGCCCAGATTCTCTCTCTGGTGACTGCTGCATCCCTGTTTCTCTCTGCCTATGTCAGTGAACAGCCCTGTCTGTGGAGGTTTTCAATTTAAATGTTTGTTCTTTTAAGGTCTGAATAATCTACCCTGAAAAAGAAGCTTCCCGCTGTTTTTTACAGCTTTCCAAAGAGATGAAGGGGGTTGTGTGACAATATTCAGAAAGATAACAGAATTTCTGGTCAAGGGACAGGCCTGGGAGCTCTGATAACTGCCTGCAGGGCCTTTTGGGGAACAGAGACTGGTGTGCAGAAGAGCCAGTTTATTGTTTGGGCTGCAGAGGCTTCAGTTGTTGGACTAAAATGCCGCATGGAGAGTTTGTGTTTAGATGACGACACTCTTTCAAAACTGGAGGGGCTGTCACATAGAAGAGGGGATTCACCTGTGCACCAAAGTGTCATAGAGCAGAACAAGAAGTAACAGATGGAGTCTAGAATTAGGAGAAAGTTCCTGTCAGTGAGAACAATTAATGAAACATCTTGCCTCCAGACATTGTGGGTGTTTCATTACTGGAGGTTTTTAAGAAGAGATTGGACAGCCATTTGTCAAGAATAATATAGGTTTCCTATCTAAGCAGGGGGTTGGACTAGAAGACCTCCGAGATCCCTTTCAACTCTCATTATTCTCTTGTGGGCCTGTTGTTTTCTTGGCAACAATGTCAGACTGAAACTCTCCACTATCTTTTTCTGGGATTTTTATTTTTTTACTTCTATTTATAGCTAGCAAGCACAGTATTTCCTATTGGCATCCCATACTTGTATTAACGAGGTTCAACTGTGCTTAAGCCAGGACTTCTGAAAGAATAGCTATGGAAGACCTTTCAGGATGTTCAGTTGTATAAGTTGTCCTCATTTACCACTTCTGCTCTGGGCCTATGAATATGAAAACGCAGGAAAAGGGAGTTGCACCAATTCGGATGCTGCCAACTGTTGCACGTTTATGGTGTTTGCAGTATCCCACATTCATGATCCCCATCTCTGACCTTCCCAGCTAGTTTCTTACAAGCAAAATCAATGGGTATACTGGCAGGAAATTGCAAGCCACAGTCATGTGAAATTGCCTTTAACGACCCATGGTGATTTGCCTAGCAAGTCCAGAGGAACAGATGTAAGTTGGCACTATCATGTGACATCATATTTAATGATCGGGCTGCTTAATGACACAGATGTCAGTCCCAATTGCAGTCATTAAGTGAGGAGTACTTCAGTTGGGATGTCAGCAGAGGGATTGTGGAGAGTAGTTTTTGATCTTATTTGTTGCTGAGGATTCCCATGTGCAAATCTTGCAGAGTCATCAGGCATCATTTCATCAGTTAAAGCCCCCACACCTCTAGAAATTAGCTCAGAATGTTTGACAGTAATCTTTTTTTTGTTTTGTTTTTCAGGCTGAAAAAATGAATTTTCCACATAAAATATAATTATAGATATGCGTATTTATATTACTCTTTCCATATATCTGCAATTGTATAATCTATACCCCAGACTTCCAGATATATTTTATGATAACCCATAGCAGCGCTTACAGTTTATGGTTTATGCAAGTCAAGGGAATTTCATGATTTAAGGGATCTTTTAATCTCTGAAATGTCCGATAAATCATAATTAATGTAAGAAGTTAGCATTCCTCACTCTCCTTCCTTCCTAGTGCCATTGCCATTAATATACCCACCATCCCTCCCCCCATGAGCATTTTGGGCCGTACGGCCGGGTCTGATATCGTTGCCTTTTCCTTACCGCTTCCCTCCTGTTTGTGTAGATATACTTGTTTATCTGACCTACCCACCCATCTATCCCTGTTGGCCCTATTTCTTCTGATTTCCCTTTATTCCATGCTGTACATCGCCTAGTTGCATCCTTTTTTCCATCTCGTCTGGCTGCGGTCAGCTGGGCTGCCTGCTAACTCGCTCCCAGATCTACTCCCTCTCATCTTTATCAATTCTATCCTTCCTAATGCTGCCCCCATTGATATGTCCCTCAGCTGTCTCCTCATGAACATTCCGGGCTGCTCGTACGGGTCCAGCATCATCACTACCTTTTATAATTGTATAATCTATACCCCAGACTTCCAGATATATTTTATGATAACCCATAGCAGCGCTTAACAGTTTATGGTTGATGCAAGTCAAGGGAACTTCATGATTGAATGGATATTTCAAGTTAGATCTCTGGAATGTCCGATGAATCATAATTAATGTAAGAGGTTAGTATTGTAGCATTTTGCTTTTTACATGTAATGTATATTTTTTCCTTTTTTTTCATATCTGAAAGCATTGTATAAACAATTAAACTTACACTTTTCTTTGAATCTTACAGACAAAGAGAATGGCAATAAGAGCACTCTGGAGAAGTGAGAATAACTTTTGAAAAGGAAAGCAAATGAAGCCAGAAATCAAAATATTTTCCATTTGCTTCAGAAACTTGCACAATTCTCCCATCCCAGCAGGCGAAAGGCAAGAGAAAATCAAGAAGAGATTTCAAGCTGGAAATAGTAGAGTATGCAGAACAGAAGGATAGGTTACATGACAAGCTGAAAGTGATTATTTTTCCCTCAGAAGTAGGGAAATATCTGGAAGTCAGTGGGGAAAAAAAGGTCAATTGGATACTCAAATAGGGCAGACAGCAATGCAGAACTCCCAACGGGAGGAAGAAAACAGTAGGTGAAATCAAAGCACACTAACAAA